GCCGGTGCGTGCTGCCTTGGGCTTTCTGTCTACCCGCCCAATGAGTGGCAGGTGCCTCTGCTGCACGGTGCTGCTGTGGCATGCCTCACGCGTCACGGCTGCGACTGGCCGGCGCCTCGGCGCGTCAGCTCGGCTCGGCGCAGCGATCGCGGGCCAGCGCAACTCGCCTGGACTCAACGCTCAGCCAGGAGCTCCCGCACGCGCTGGCGCGAGCCATGGCGCATGCAACGCGCAGCAATGCTCGCCTCGCCTCGCGCAAAAATGCGACCGCCCTCGCAGCCGACAGTCCACCGCCTGCTAAAGAAGCACTGCGACGAATGCGGCACCGCGGCGACGCATGGCAGGCTGGTCATGACGCAGTTATAGGGTGTTGTGTGCCGTCAGAGTGACTCTCTGTGTGTCAGGGATAGTCAGGGCCGTCCACCAGAGCTCCAGTAAGCTCGGAGACACCCCATTAGTGCGGCTCGACCTCTCACTGCCTTCCCGCGGTTTTGCTGTAGAGCCTCTACAACAAACTCTACAGCAAAATCGCGCTCTACCTCTACAACGCACGCAGTTCGTCCCGCGCCGGATGTAGAGCTCTACAGCTCTAGAGCTCTACAGCGCTCCAGAGCGCTCTACAGCTCTACAGCTCTACTTTACAGCGCTCTCACTCTACATCCTCTACAGACTACACCCTCCCTCAGCGCTCTGCCCCCCGACGGGGGGCAGTGCGCCCCCCGTGCCGCCGGGAGAACCTGCCTGCCCTATGCGAGTGAGAACTCTCTCTCCCTGCGGAGACCCTCCTGAGAGTGTCGTGTGGGGAGCCTGTCGAGGACTGGGGCTCCACTCGAGGTCATGTTCATAGATTCCAAAGCATTGTTAATAGCAAAGGGGGGAAAAGGTACCCTCGACCCTCACGCCTGCAACCCTCGCGCGACAGCACACCACTGCTCCGCACGAGACACCGTTGCAGGACCAACCCCAAAACGCGACAGCGCACACAATAGGGAGGGTGGGTGGGGAAGCAAAACAGGCCGTGTGGGGTGTGGGTGTCACGAGGACAGACGTCCACGAAGACGGTGGACGGACGCAAACTCCTTATCCGATTCACACTCACGGCTGTCCTACTGGTTATATAGAAAGTCGGCCGTCTGCGAGCCCCCGGCTCGCCGACGGCGAGAGAGATGCCACGAGGGGTCGCGGTGGCGTCCATCGCCAGGCTCCCTAGCTCAACCGACGACCCTTCGGGATCGACGGCCGATCGTCATGAGCCTGTCGAGGACTGGGGCTCCACTCGAGGTCATGTTCATAGATTCCAAAGCATTGTTAATAGCAAAGGGGGGAAAAGGTACCCTCGACCCTCACGCCTGCAACCCTCGCGCGACAGCACACCACTGCTCCGCACGAGACACCGTTGCAGGACCAACCCCCATCGCCATCCATCGTAGAACATGATCTCGAGCCCTGCCCCACAGCCCCTCAGCCACTACACCATCATAGTCACTCGCGCGAGCCGCTCGATGCGCGAGGCGAGATCGAGGCCGGCGTAGTGCTGCTGCATCGACCTCTCTCGCTCCTGCTCGTTCCAGCCGAAGATGCAGTCGATGTCTGTGATGGTAGCGCCCGTGACATCGCTCGTGTCCCGCGCCACCTTGTCCGAGAACCGTCGGTTCGAATGGTGGGCAAACTTGACAATTGGGTTGCCCGCCTCGTCCTCCTCAATCGCAAGCTCGAGGTCCTCCTCGTCGCGCTCGCGGAGGAGCTCGTACGCGAGCTTGAGCGCTTTCGTAGAATGGCTATATGACGAGCCAGTCTCTAGCGGAGTATCGGTGAGGCGCCCGCCGTCTGTCGCCCGGATGAGCGGGCCTTTGACGACGGCGGCGTACTGGGTGAGCCCCAGTCCCGCCAACCA